AACACAATTTATAGCTGTATTAGCTGTGGGAGTTTATCTGAGGTGAATGAAGGAAAGACACCCAAAGAAAATAGGCAGAATACAGCTGCATCTTGGATAGTCCTGTAGTCTTCTCCAGTTCTGTTGTGTTTACTATTATGACTTCATCTTATTTCAAAATGCATTACAAGAATAAACCTTTTCCATTACATAAATATATATGGACACAAGCAATTTCAATTCACCTGGCAGACTATTGTTGCCTCTATTTTTAGCCTCAAGAAGTAACTAATCACATTAGCTGAGGAGCTTTTATTTTCAAAGTGATGGCTTTGCTCTAAACAGCAAGTGAGAGCTGCCTTTCCCAGACCTCCACTGTGCTCTTGGTAGAGTTGCTCCATTCTCTCCCTCCACATCACATTCTTCAAATCACCACCTTATATCAGAACCTCTGTAAGCGCTGTGCCAGTGACCCCTACCGTGTCTCTACTTTTAGGATGCTCCTACACTTTGCTAGGAAATTCTCGATGGCACCTAAATTCAGCTAATTAAATTGTGCTGCACACCTAAGGCACACAGCTGTTTTTCAGACCTATACAGGAGGAGTAGCACATCCCGGTAATATTTGCAAGCAACTGATGGAGTGTGAAGCTATGGGGTGGAATCTCTGTGATCCCTAAGGCAAAGCACCTTTAGCACAGGTCACAGGTCTATTCAGTTTGGTAGAGAGGGGTCTAAAACAAAGTCAATTAGCCTGATAAGGACCATTACGTTTTCCCTCTTCCACCATGCAATAATAGCGTATTATAATAGAATACATTATTTTAGAAATTGTTTGGGGATTTTCAATAAAGTTCAATGCATAACCTTGGTGGCATAGAGTGCAACAAAACCAAAACACAAATACCTTAAAAATGTTGAAACTGACATTAAAAAGAGTTGATTTTCAAACCAACACTTCATTTCTTAGAACATGAAAATTACTCAGTGAAACCTGTCACAAGGTTTGATACACCATAACATATCAAAGCTGAGCATGTCACCAATCCTAAATGATGCCTGTCCTGAACCTCAGGCCAAGACAATTTTTCAGCAATGAATTTCTCCAGTTTCAGTCTGAGTTAAGATAATATGATTAACTACATAGATACAGAGTAGCATGAAGTGTATGCCTTCTATGGCATGATACACACTGTATTGTTTCTTTCCCTGTTTTTTTATTCCATGTTCTTCCAATCTGATAGCTTTGTTAAATAATCAGCTGTGCAACCCTAAAAGAACCTTTCAGATGTTTGAGTATTTATGCACCGTAAAATCAAAGCAGTAACAAAACACTATGTTTCCTCTGTCTCAGAAGCAGGCCCAAGGCTGTGGGCAGCTGCAGTGTGAAGGCAAATTCTTACCCTGCAGCAGACTCATGATTCTGAACTCAATGAAAAGAAATTAGAGGACTTTATGCAAAACAAGGTGGAGAAAGAGACTTGCTTGTGAAAAAGAGCTTTTCACAGTATCTTTGAGAAAAGCAGTAAAAATATCTTCTAGAATAAGGGCTTTCCGAGGCTGCTAATGTTCATAGGCTCTAACAGCACTTACAAAACTGCATACATTACCAAAAGGCTTTCACAGTGCATGTGATGGCATGGAAAGTACGAAGGAAAAAAAAAGAAAGGAAAGAAAAAGACCATGCAATTATAGAAAAGTAAGTTTTGCAGCCTAAAATTTCTAAGTGGTAATGTGACCTCTGCAAATAATGATTTAAAAACCTTGCTACAACTGAAGCAACATATTTTTTAAGGAAATGCATACTTAAAAAAAAGGTTCACGTGCCACATGCAGACATTGGTTTCTTATCATTATTTAATGCACAATTAGCACAATTAATAAGCACAATTCTTTCCAGGTTAATGAAGTCTCAATCATTTTTTTCCTCTGAAGCAGAGTGAAGAATAGAGGAATGTCTGGGAAAAAAAAGAAGGCACACTTCTTTTATTATCTGTCTCTCTGTGTGTTGGATTTATCTATTACAATTGTTACATCCCCTTGTTTGTGGGGTATTTATGTCTTCACACTTCTACCCAAAGAGTCAGTAGAAAAAATTCGGTTATATCTTGCAGTAGGCAGCCACTGTCACTGTCTTTTTTGGTCTTGCGGTCCCCTCTACCCTCTTTCTCTACATTTTGGAGGAGCAATCAGGTACTCTGTTTTCATGGAAGAAGATTTTATGCAGGTCCAACGCTGACATCCAGCGGCCTCCGCAGTTCGTTACATCCTCTCCGTGTCTTCCACCATTTGAAACTTGGCTTGAAGGGATGCGGCGTTTCTCTTCAAATGGATAATTTCAGCAGTTATGTGATTTCCATAAGTAAGCATCGGTTGTTGTATATTCTGATAACTACATTTAATGGTATTCAGTACAATAACCTTGAAATATCCCAAAATGTTAATTTATTCAGGAATCCTAATCACACAAGCATATTACCACTGAGCAGTAATTCTCTCTCTATGTATCTACATATGTGCACACCTGCATACTTACATGCTTTCTCTCTGCTTTTCCCCACCCATTTAGTATTCCTAAACCTGAAGTGAAAGTGCCCAAGTGTGGACACCAATTTTTCATGGACCTAACATGAAAAACAAGGCCCAACAAGAGATTTTATTTTTCTGTAGAAGAAAAAATGAAGAGAAAGGGAATATAATTGAATATTATTCTTCAAAGCTAGCAGATGAAACTTCTATTTTCCAACTGAAATTTAAAGCTAGGTAGTGACTTGTAAATAGTTGATACTTGCCTGTTGGCTACTAATTTTGCTACCTGTTTTTTCTTCCTTGTGTTGGTAAGCTTGTCTGGTACTCTCAAAAGGCTTTTGATCAAAGCCAATACAGAATGAAGTTTTGGTGTATGTTTTCCCAGAGCACTGGATGCCTCAATGCAGTGTTTTAATCTGGCCCACTAAAAGACTTGCTGGAAACTTCAGGTTTACACTTCCCTTTCAGGTTTGGTGGTTTTTTTGTTTTGTTTGTTGTTGTTGGCTTTGGTTTATTGGTTTGTTTGTTTGTTTTAACTAGAATTCTAACATTTGTTTGGTTTAATGAACCTATTACTATTAGAAACTTCTGCAACAGCTGCAAGGGATGGACAAGCTGCTGGGAATCTTTTCTGTTCCAAAGACTGATTATTTTAATCAATACATCTCCTGAATTAGAGTTTCCAAGAGGATAACTTCAAAACAGCCCTATGTGCAGCCCTATGTGTCACTGTGCTGGCACTGAACACCTATTAAAAGGTAGCATTCTTCACGCCATCCCACTCTTTATAAAAAGATGCCATGTAAAAAACAAATGAAAGTTTTCCCATGTTGAGAATATGTCTGTCTTTGTGTTTCTGTATACTGGCATACACAGAAACTCCTGAAGAGTTTTATTTGTTTTTCCTCTCTTGGTCTCCCTGAAGGCAACCACAGAATGCAACTGCTGTATCCAGCTGTGTAATTGGCTTTCTGCTAAATAAGCCTTAACAGCAATGACTCAACAGATCTTTGTAAAAGTAATAATAATAATAAAAAATTGCAATCCTCATTTAGTTCTTTGCATTAAAGGGTAAGGACACTTCAGAACATTGGTTTTGCATTGCTTTCTATGGCCTTGGTTTTATAGGAAGCTTGCTTTTAAACAAGGGGCTTAGAATCAACTGGGTTTTCACAGAACATTTCTATGGGTTTCTTTTGACTACAGGGTATTTACAAGGACAGGAAGAAATAGCTCAGTGTTGGAAAATTTCTTGCAATGTGCCTTTCCTATTTTAAACCAAGTAATTAAAAACACTACTATCATACGAAAGCACACATCGTTACATGCATTTTGAACTTTATGTAAGGTCTTCAATAGAGCTGGAAAAAAGAGACTACTGCTTTGGTGAGTGATAAAATTTATTTCAAGTGCAACTTTCACCAAAGAAGATAGGCAATGCAATTTATAATTTTTGTGGGGTTTATATCTTCTTGTGAGTTTAACATCCACATAAAATACTATCTGCACTGTCAAAAAATCCTTTCCAACATTAATATTCAATTTTGGCTTAAATCCCTTGACCCTACTCAGCTTCACAGCCTGCCTAGGGAAGAGTGACTCAGAGCTCTCCGCCTTACAAAGGAACAGGGATGGGACGTACAGTACTTTTCCTCAGCTGCACGTAGCAGAAGTAACGTTACCAAGCTTCTTGTTTTGGAAGGACCCGCAAATGTGGTGCACCTCTTCGAATTTTCTCTATTTGGACTTCTTGTGCCATTTCTCTACCACAGAAAGGGCTGTGTTGCCCTCTAACCAAGCAAAGGGCTAATGAAAAGGAGTGTTGGGTTGCTCTTGGCACCTCCTGGCAGTTTTTCTGGTAGTTTTTTCCTTCTCCAGAGCCAGACTTCCCACGTCCCTTGTTTAGGAAGAGATGCAGTTTATCCAGAGGCAGTGTCAGGAGCTATGATAAGCTGTGCCCTGAAGCATGAGCCTCGGGGCTTTGCTTTTCTGTTTTCTGACATCTCCAGGAAAACACAGATTCTCTGAGGTCGTTCCCCACGATCCATGTATCTGGGCGTTTTGTAGCCAGATTCGATGGTGCACGCCCCTTTGATTCTCAGGCGAACTGAGCAACGCCAAAGCCGAGCCTGTGCTATACAAAGTAACTGGAGGCTCGGGGCTTGAGACCGGCGCTCAGTCAAGCGCCTGGCTTAACTGGGGCGCAGCCTTGCACCCGCGCCGAGAACGCGAGGTCCGGAGCCAGGCCTTAATCCTCAAGTGCGTGCCTTAAAACAACGACGTGTTGCAGACGCCGGCCTGGGGTTGTAAATTATTTTATTTTATCACAAGATCAATATTTAACCACGCCAGGGCCCGCCCCGCAGCCCCCAGCCCCCAGGGCGGGGCGCAGAGGAACTACAGCTCCCGGGAGGCCTTTCCCGGCGCTCTCCCGTCGGGCTCCGCGGCAGGAAAAGCCGAGGGAGTGCCGCTGCTCCCGCCGGAACAGGGTTCCTGTGCCGGGGCGCGTCACCTCCGCCTACCATCGCACTCGCAGTCGCACTCGCCATCCCTCTCGCCGTCCCTCGCCCCGCCGCGCCATGACGGACCGCTACACTATCCACAGCCAGCTCGAGCACCTGCAGTCCAAGTACATCGGCACGGGGCACGCCGACACCACCAAGTGGGAGTGGCTGGTGAACCAGCACCGGGACTCGTACTGCTCCTACATGGGCCACTTCGACCTGCTCAACTACTTCGCCATCGCCGAGAACGAGAGCAAGGCGCGCGTCCGCTTCAACCTGATGGAGAAGATGCTGCAGCCCTGCGGGCCGCCCGCCGACAAGCCCGACGAGTCCTAGGCCGCCTCCTCCACCATCCTCCTGCCCCGCCGCCGCCCTCCCCCGTGGGTCCCTCGAAGCACTGACGGGGGCAGGTCTTGTAAAATGCCTGTTTCCGGACAGCGCCGGCTCCTCTGACTCTACAGCCCTTCCGATTTTTTTTCAAATGGAAAACAATAAAGCCTGCTGGGCATTTCTAATGTTCTGTTTTATAATCTGCTAGTAAGAGCTTTTTGTTGCAAAAGGAACGCTGTTGCTCGGTGTTAAGGGTTTCAGTGCAACCATCCGAGGTGCAAGTCTCGGATACTTCACAGATAGCATTTTCCCGGCCAGGCTGATTGATGCTTTCTTACAGAACTCTGTTGTTTTGTGGAGTGAGGGGAAGCTTGCTGGTACTCAGAGGGTCTGAGTTGTTGTTAGCATTAATGTGTTCGGTGGCTCGTGGTATAGCTTCAGTCAGTTGCTCTAGTGCTTTAAATCTCTTAAAACAGCTTTTCTCTAAATCCCATTTTCTTGCCTTGTCTTCCTCTTTCCTGTACTTTCAAGTTTTTAAAACCTTGATCCTCTCTGATCCAACCTAGCTACCCTTTTTTTTGTAATTTCTAGTCATACAGCATTTGATTTTTTTCTACATTACGCCAAACTAGAGTATTAACGTGGGGTTCAGCACTGTTAATATGGAATAAGAACATGAGAGTTATTTACTAGTATTTTGAAGTAAAATGCCTTGAGGTGACACAGTCTTAGATTGCATATTGAATTCATGTTGATTCTGATTTGTCACTTAAAATAGGCTTTCTATTCACTTTCTATTTCTATTGCAGTAAAAATAAATTTTGAATTCTAATGAATGGAAAGACCTCCGAGTAAAACTTAGAGATATGTTGCTTAGAGAAATAGAGTGCTCTCATTTCTGACATGAAGCATAGTAACTGTGGGTGGGCTGATTTTGCTGTGGACTCTTTTTGTTTATTTATATTAACATTGGAGAGGAAAATCCAGTGTTTTATGATTCTATTAAGAGGAGTTTATCAATGATTTTTTTTTTTTTGGTAAATTGGTAATCTCAATTCAGTACATCCCTCTTCTGAAGAATTCAAAGGTGGCATTTTTCAAACTTGGTTGCACATAGTAAGATGAGGGCATGGATGAAGTCCTAAAGAAATTTTACTTGCAAGTTTTGTGGGGAGTTGCTTCAGTTTCCAATAAATGAGGGGGATTTGTAGAAAACTGTTTTTCAATTTGCCTGCAAGCTTGTGCAGGTAATTTGAAGAGCATCTGTTCCTCACATACTAAGGAATGCAGCTGAAAGTTTTTTCCTTAAGTTGAGTTCAAGCACTTGTATGCAATGCAGTCTTGCAAAAATCAGACAAAATTTATATCTAAATCAAGCAAGTTTCCTGTTACAGTTCCTCTTAAAAGACTGTTCTCCTACCAGATTTTAGAAACTTACCTTTTCCTATAGGAAGAGGCAGCATGCTTAGTGAAAAAGGGTGGCACGGGAGAGTTCCATGGCAAAAGCTGCTTGTTCCTGTTTCTCTTGCCTTACATACACTGTAGCTACTCTGTTCTGAGAGAAAACAAGAACAGAAGCATCAATGACTTCATCGTGTTGCCCCATGAGCGGTTTCATAAGTCGTCTCCTCTGCTGGCAGGCAGTTGGTGTGTGCAACAGGCGGTGGCAAAGGAGCTTGAGCCTTAGTGCTGGGCCTTGGGAAGTGGAAAAGCTAGAGTGAGGATAGCAGGTGCTTTTTTTAATGGTTTGAAAGCTGCAGTGTTTTATGAAGACAAGTCTTGAATCATGTACATGGAAGGAAAACCAGAAACCATACGATTTAATCACTCCTTCATAAATTAGAACATTTCAAGGAAGATTTCTCTGAGTAAAAACTAACAATTCGCTCTATCCATGGATATTATCAATACTTTCTAAAATGTGAGCAAGAAATACATGACACATTAGTAAAGATTAATCCTGTTTCCAGGCCAGCTCTTCACTATAAAGGCCAAACGCCTTCAGGGAGAAGTCAAGAGTTACGTGATGAATGAAGTTGCTGGTTCTGGATATGCTTGCTTGAATCCCAGTTAGGTACTTACCTCTGTTTTTAGTGTGGTTGAATTGGGGTTATAGAGTGTCTGTACTAAGTAATGATGATGAAACATTACAAACACCTTCTTAGGAAATAGAGAAAAACAAAGAAAAGTTGTAATTCCTAAAATTCAAGATAAACATGAAGAGAACTGGGAGGTTGTTCCTGGGCTGTAGTATTTTTCCTAAATCCTAAAGCAGTTTTAAAACCAGCAAAGGCAGTGAACTCTTACGTTTTACGATTGGAAAAGGTAAAGCCTTGTAAGAACAGTGTCAATTACCTATTGGAATGTATCTGGTTTTTACCTCTATCCTAATTGGAAGATGAAGGGTAGTGTTTGTTTTATAAATTGCCTTGATATTTGCATTATGTTCTTTTTTACATCCAAGGAGTATGGCTTCAAATGGGCTTCCTGCTGTGATATTTGGCTCATTTTCCTGAGTTTCTGTAGTTTAATTTCACATAATGTGAAACATGAGAAATGCAGATTATTTCCAACATGATGTGCATTGTATTTAGTAGGAAGGAATTTCACCTGTTCTTGTTCCACCAGTTAATACTGTAAATTCCTTTTAGAGTAGAACATATATGTGCTTTTACTTAAAAAAATAGATATTACATATAATATTTAATGACTTTATCTAAAAATGAAACACTGAAATGATATTATCTAGGATTTATGAATATGATGAGAAGTATGAGGATGCCAGGTGAAAGACAAAAGTTTGCTTCCGGTGCCTTAATTATAGATGATTCAAGAGAAGAAGAAGCAAGCTTGAATCTTACAGAAAAAGTATGTGAAACTTCATGCTGAGATCATTTATTTTACTTATAAATGAGTTTCACTTAATCCAGAAATCATTACTGTAGGAGTGCATTACCCCCTTAATTTTTAATTGTGTTTATTACCGTTCTTTTGGTAACGTGGCTGTCTCTTACAACAGGCAGCATAAATGAGGTTTGCTAATTATTTTATAAATTGAGAAATCTTGGCAGTTTACTCAGTTCCTATATTTGAGTTACTTTTCATTAGAAGTGATTTTTAATTTTTTTTTTTGCTACACTAGAGGGCAGCAATTGATTCAGCTATCCAGCTGAAGGCACAGATAACTAACAGAATCACATGCTATCTTGCAAAGATCCTTTGAAAAAATAGGTGGATACCTTAAAAATTTAGTAGAACTTTCCAATAGGCAGAAATAGTTAGCTTTTAGCAGTACATTAGTTAATGTCTGCACAGTGAAGCAATTGCATTAGTGAGCTGTTTTCTGCAGACTGCCCCGCAGGCTGGGAAAGTGGTTTACACCCACTCCAGAGTTTTGGGACTTTGTTAGGGAGCTGCAAACAGGCCTTCATAGAAGTGTTGCTTAAAGAGCTATATTCTGCCTTTCATTGCTTGTTAAAATGTTTTCCTCCTAAGACACTGGTTCTGAATCAGCTATTTGCCCACAAATCTGTGAGCACTGCAAAGTTAACTGCAGCTGTCCTGGGATGACCCTGGGAAGCTGGAGTGAGCAAGGACTTTGGCAGGCAGCTCCCTAACACTTCACTTTGTGATTTTATTCCCAGTATTTTGACTGGTTGTTTAATGATGAGGCTCTAAGGGAAAGAGACAAACCATATGCTCATCAAGCAAGGCACAGGAAGCAGCCAGGCCTGTGGGATCTCAGCAGCAGGATAAGATGACTGTCCTGGTAGAAAGTCAAGACTGGAGGGGGCAGTGCAGGCCCACAGGCTGGCCCTTTGAGGCTTTGCTCAGCTGCAGGTGAGGATTTACCAGCCTGCTGAGCAGGGCACTTGAACGTTCAGTCTGTTAGTCATCCAGGCCTAGATCTCATGTGGCTTTTGCTATCTTATCTGGAGATTCCCACTGAATCACAGAAGGCTAATCTGCCTGCCCCCTCCTCCATCCACTTCTCCAAGGACATTCCCAGGAAAGCTAACATCATGAACCAGGAACAGAGCATTTTTCTTGGCAAAGCTAAGCAGGGAACTTCGGGCCTTGTCTGCACAAAGAAAATAAGGGAGGATGTGAATGCAAAGTAAAATGCCTGTTCCTGGCCATTGCTCTATGGGGATGCTCTTTTCCTGCAATAAGGTAACTTTATCTGAAGATAAGGACTCAAGAACAAGTGACTTGCAGTAAATTAACCGTGAGGATATACAAGTTGCTCTGTAGCTAGTGCCTATTACACACCCTTACTTTAGTGTCAAGTATGGAGTCTTCGCCTCTTTTCTTGGAGGCGCTTTCCTTTCATCACTGCAAGGAAAAAACAGGGCAGAAAAAATCTCTCAGACAGCTGCCCTAAAGTAGGTAACTACAGTGTGCTGCAAGTTTAAGCCCTGATTGCCCTGGCTGTAACTCTCAGGTATTTGGTGTTAGCCCTTTAGGGAACCATCTGCGGTAATTCAGGGTAAGTCTCTCCTGCTGAAGGGTAAGAGTGCCTCTGCAGACTGGGGAGCAAAGAGTTGCAGAGAATTTACCAGAGCACTGTGACTGGGTCCCAAAGCATAGGGGATGGCAGCCAAGAAAGCAGGGCAATCCTTGCTTACAGTAATCTCCCTTTTCTCCCAGTGGACAGGTGATTCAAGAGACCCAGACTTACACACCCACAAAATAATACTTCCCTTCTTGTATGTCACAGCTTCATCTGGTTGATTCTTGGGGTGTTTGGTGGGTCATACTATCAAATGAAAAGGGTGGAATTTCCTTAACCCTTACTGTGGGGGTTTTACCCTTAGTGTTTTGTCTGTCAGTGCCCTAGGAAAGCCAAGACCCTTGTGCCTGACCAGTTTGTTAGTGTTCTGTTATGGGGACTCTTCACTGAACAGTCCTGCTGGATTGGAGGGTGATTTGACTGCCTTTTTTAGGCAACTACACCAGCAGTGTAAGGAAGACCCCTCAGTGAGTCTTCCCACTTTATTAGAGTGTGTTCCCCACTGCTGGCAACTGTTAGTGCCCAGGAAGGACCACCACTAACAGTTTGCAGTATAACACTTTACTAATATAAAATTGTGATGGGTTTGAAGGTTGCCAGTGATGGTATCTGACTGCAAAAACGTATTTAAAGCAATACATAGACAAGTTCTAATCCCAATAAAAATATTCAGTGTGCGTACAGTTC